TAAATAAGACTATGTTCCAGAAAAAATTGCTAGAAACATAAGCATTAGAATTTAATATACCTCTTCCCTGAGGTTCACATGATCTTTTCGCCCTGTTCGATGTGGCATCTTTTGTTTTTTTCGATTCTTGCTATTAATCTTTCTTTGCTTCTAATTATGTACAAAACAGAAAAAGGTAGTTAACAACACATCAAAATCATAATAGCACTAGAATTTAATTCAAAAGCAAAAGAGATGTGACAATAAATACATGCCTTGACATCTTCTGAGCTCCAATAATCAACCAAAATAGGCCATTGATCCTCCTCAACTCTTGCAGGACAGTGTGCTAATAGCCATGACCTGTGCCTCCTATAAGGAGTGAAATACATGCTCTTGACTTTTGATTTCCAATTTCTCCACAATTTGCTGACCCTTATCATTTGTACTTTCTTGCATGTATCATCAATATTTGTATTTCTCAATCAAAAATTACAAAACAAAATTTTAAACATTCACAAGCTACAAGATTGTATGAAATAAAAAGAAAAAAAATGTTGCTAACTTTGATAGTGAGTCAAAATACCTTAATATCTTCCCAAAATCTCTCCTTAGATCCTTCAGGCATGGCCCTCCAATCTGTGTACGTGAGTGGTAATTTATTACCATCCTTTACTAAGATTCCTACTTGACTTATATACTGTGTAGCATTAGGACCAATTACTTGGCCCCGTGCATTCCAAACTAACTCCAATTTCTTTCCACCACCCCAACCAGCACTTCGTCTGGCTAGTCCTCTACCACTATTGTCTCCTGTGTACAAAAAACACATACACATACAAAAGAAGAAATTGTGATTCATATAATTTTTTTTATGAATATTATACAAAGCTTATAATAAGGAATGCTAGACTCAAAACTATTTGTGGTAATCTTTTCTTTTCCAACCGACCTTCTTCACTAGAATCATCATCATCAAAAGTACCATCAAAGACATCCTCTATGTCTTCTGAATCATATGAAGAACCTGATCCAGCTTCAGAATCATTGTTATCAAAGGAATCTGGTTGCTCACGATGGTCTACTAGTGGTTGAGAATGAAAGCCTTGACCGATATGTGAATTAGGATGGGAATTTAGTTGAGAATCAGCCTTGGAGTTCAACTGATGTGAATTGGCTTTAGAGTTGAACTGAGAAGCAGCAATAAAGCTAGAAGCTGAGTTTGAATTTGAATTGGAGTCATGTGATTTCGCTTGACAATTAGGTCGAGAAACAGAGTTTGAGCTAGATGTAGGGTCTATGCGTATTCCAGGCATTGCCCCAATGAATTTATGTGCTGGAGGCTTTGAATAATGACTGGGGCAAGTCTGATAAGATTGAGAGCTTGACTGTAGTGCAGGGTTCAAACTATTAGTGGACTCAATATGCGCTCCGGACATTGGCCCAACAACTTTGCGGGGCCCCTTCTTACTTGGTGCCATGGAAAACCTATAAAAGCAGCTTCTGATTTTTGAAGGCAAAGTTAAGTAAGATGATTAATTTTGAAGGCAAAGAGAGTGTTGTATCATCTTACTTTTGGAGTTTAAGTTTCTAAAATCTGCAAACACAAAGAACATATACATATTAAGGAACTATAACCCAATGAAACCAACATTACCAACTTGCTAATATGAATATAAGGAATCATAAATTGAACATAAGGTAAATCCAGCATTACCAACCTGCTAAAAAAAGAAGTAGAATGCAGGTTATCAAGGAGACTAATATGAACATAAGGAATTATAAATTGACATCCAAGGCAGTGAAAATGATCCCACAATTAATATTTTTCATACTAATCAGTAACTTCATCTAATATTGGCATATCTAAACTTCATATAACAAATTGTTAGGATTATATTCCAAAATTAGAGTCAATCATCAGCCTTGTCTCCTTGTTGGGCTTTATCAAAAAAATCATCATCATCACTTGTATCATCAATCAAATTGTCAATCCCAAGATTATCCTCATCAGAGAAGAATCCATCATCAACTTCAGCAACGTGTGCCTTGGATTTTGTAGTTTGTGCATCAAGTATAACTCCATCAACACCTTCCCTAACCCATGAAACATTACTATCCTCAGAATTATTGTTATTAACATGTTGCCAAGCAGAATGCTCATCCTGGATATCTTCACATATGTTAATTTCTGGATCAATAATGAAAAGATCTCGAGGGGTCATCTTGACAACTATATTCCATTCAGGTTCCAATGCATCCCGAACATACCAAGCTTGCTGTGCTTGAGAGGCCAGGATGAAAGGCTCATCATTCTTCGTGTTTTGCTTGTACAATATATGATCAAAGTTAACAAGTGTGAAGTTGTGTTCATCTTGTTTCATTCCAGTGACATTATCAACCCAATCACACTTGAACATCACAAATTTAATGTCATTTGAGTATCTCAACTCAACAATATCCACTAAGACCCCATAGTATTCTAAAATTCCAGATATAGGGTTCTTATCCTTTGTACTAGCGAAACTATTGGCACTAGCATTCACAAATACACCACTATTTTGAGTTTGCCTTCTCATCTCACGCTTCTTAGTATGGAAACGAAAACCATTAACAATGTAACCAGAATAGTTTTTTGCCCACTTATCAGGACCAGCAGCCAAATAAGCAATTTCTTTATAATAATCATGGCAACTATTAGATTTTTCCAAATCTGCAACCTACAAGTTTTGAACAAAAACTGTTATTGTATGTTAACTCTAGAGAATATTAAATATATGAAAATGAAGCTCAATTAAATTCACTACTGAATTTAAAACTTACATGCTTCTTAAACCACTTGTAAAATGTTTCACTATGAATTTTCTCCCTTTCATAGTTTGACATGCGTGGTTTTTCTAGTTTTAGCAAATGCTTATGGTCCCTACATTAGTCATTAAATACTTTAATGAAAGCAATAATTCATGAGTTATTGATTAAGTTTGATAAACTGTGAACTTACCTGCGAAAAGGATCAATAGTTTCAAGATTTCCAAGAACATAACGATGAGCTTGAACCCAAGAGACATCATCTAAATAGATGACCTCTTCTTTTCCTAAGGGACGGCCAATCTGTCTATTTAAATATTCACCTTCATAGTTCCTAGGTGGGCGATTCAACTTTGATTCAATATTGTCCAAGTACATGGAACAGAATGTCATACATTCTTCCGCCAAGTAGCCCTCTGCTATTGAACCTTCAGGGTGACTTCGACTCCGTACATAATTTTTCAAAGTACACAGATACCTATGCATAGAATTTATATTAATATCGGTGGTGATTTTTCAATGTACATAGATTAAGTTGATAATCTTTTACCTCTCAATAGGATACATAGACCGAAATTGAAATGGTCCACCAAGTTTCGCCTCTTCAGGCAAGTGAACAAGCAAATGCTCCATGATGTTTGCTTCATGCACATCCATGAGGGTAAATTATATGGCACTAAAATCACTGGCCAGGTGCTGTATTTATTGTTCATTGCTTTGAATGGGTTAAATCCATCCGCTGCAAGTCCAACACGAACATTGCGAGGATCACTAGCAAAGCTTGGGTGCCGGTCATTAAAATGCTTCCAAGCTAAAGAGTCTGCCGGATGCCTCAATTTACCATCCTTGATGCGCTCCTCTTCATGCCATCTCATTAATGAAGCAGTCTTTGATGACATGAACAGCCTTTGGAGACGTGGTTTCAAAGGAAAATAGCGAACAAGCTTTGCTGGAACTTTGTTAGCTTGTTCACTTGAATCATCGGATTGTTTTACAATTTGCTTATACCTAGGAGTTCCACACTTTCTGCAAAAGGTTTCATGTTCTGTCTCCTTCCAATAAATCAAGCAATCATTGGGGCATGCATGAATTTTATGGTAGCTAAGACCCAAGTCTTTAACAATTTTCCAAGCATCACGATAAGAGCTTGGAAATAATTCATTCTCAGGAAAAACTTCCTTGAGAAGCTCCAGTAATATTGTCATTGAGTTGTTGCTCCATCGACAAAGAGACTTGACATGCAACAACTTGATGACAAATGATAGAAGAGTAAAATTTTTACATCCAGGGTATAACTCTGTTTCGGCATGCTTCAGCAACTTAAAAAACTTATTAGTCTCTTCATCACAGGCTCCTCTAAGTTCTTCTAAATTTATGTTAGAATTCTCTTCAAGTGTTCTTCCAAGTGTTTCGTGTATCAATTCATTCATGTCATCATTTTCAATGCGCCTAAACACTCCATTGTTCATATTTTCTTGATTGAAGTCCCATGGATCTTCACCATGATAAATCCAATTTGTATAAGTGGTCAAAAACCCCTTCATTGTTACATGTGCACGCACAGTTTCTTTCTTTCTTCGTTATGAGTTTTTACATCGCCTACATGGGCAATATATTCTACTCCCAACCTCCTTCTTTTTGTAGGCAAATTTAAGGAAGTCATTCAGACACTTTTCAAAGTACGGATTATTGACTCGGTCTTCAATAAAGATCCAAGACCTATCATCCATTCTACAAGAAACAAGATTGAGAAGGCAAGAAAAGAGACCTTATAAACAGAATTGAAAAATAGCAAATTTATTAACATGCAAAAAAAATAAAAAATAAAGTGCAGCATGTGCATCCCAGTTTGCTATGCTCATAGTGGAATGCGATGTTAATAGTTAACCCAACTTCTCAATGCCAAAAGAATGTGGTGAATTTATGTCAATATGCAAACCAGTGTTCTGTTTGCAAGAAAAAGAAACATAGATAAATCAGGGGAGCTAGATTGTCTTACAAATTCCTAATTGCAAGCGTCTCTTTTTCATATGCCTTATGAAATGAGACGACTTTTTGCTACGCTATTAGTTTATTCCTGTCCTAATGACCCCAAACAGCCATGGACAAAATTTGAGGCTGTCATGTCCGAAGATTTCATGAGAAATACTGAATTGTCTGCTAGAGAAATCAAACGAAAAGTTTTAGAGTAAATAAATGGTTTTCTACAGTCAATGGGAAAAAATATAGCTTCATTTGGCTTACTTCCTAATAATTACTCATTCTCAGATGTAGAGAACCAAACAAGAGATGTATTGGCTGAAAAAAGCATAAAAGTCCTTGAAGAGGACTTAAATGCAATTTCTTTGCTTAATCAGAACCAAAGGCATGCATTTGAAGTTATATCTAAAAGAGTTTATGAAAATAAGAATGGTGAATTTTTTGTTGATGGCCCTAGTGGGACTAGAAAATCTTTTCTTTATAGAGCGTTGTTAGCTGATATTAGGTCAAAGGGCTATATAGCATTAGCGACAGCCACATCAGGTATTGCAGCATCAATACTACCTAGAGGTAGAACCGCTCACTCTCGGTTTAAAATACCAACTGATACCTCAGAGGGTAGAGCATGCAAAATTAGCAAACAAAGCAGTTTGGCAAATATGATTAAGGAATGCAAATTAATTATTTGGGATGAGGCTCCAATGTGCATGAGATCTGCGATTGAAACTTTAAATGATTTTCTAAGAGATCTTATGTATTCAGATAAGATCTTTGGTGGGAAAGTAATTGTTCTTGGGGGTGATTTCAGGCAAACCTTACAAGTGGTTCGTAAGGGAAGCCAATCTGAAACCATTGCTACTTCTTTGATTAATTCCCCTATTTGGCTAGCTCTTGAAAAATTAGAGCTCACACAAAACATGAGGGCTCGGTTTGATCCCTCATTCACTGATTTCTTATTAAGGGTTGGTGATGGCACTGACCAAGCTGAAGATGACAGTCTCATACAACTGCCTTCTTCTATTTTGGTTAGCAACGGTTCACAGAATGCATCGCTTCATGATCTAATAGATATGGTTTATCCCCACATTCAACATTGATCAGAAAATCCTGCCTTGCCATTAAATCGAGCAATCCTCACCACAAAGAATCATTTTGTGGATGAAGTGAATGATATCTTAATTGAAAAATTTCCAGGTATAGCAGTAGAATATCTGAGTTTTGATCGAGCTTTGAATCCAAACAATCAAGTTCAATATGAAGATTTTTTAAACTCCTTATCTCCCAGTGGCCTTCCACCCTATAGACTAATCTTGAAACCTGGTGTTCCTATGATATTGTTTAGAAACCTCGACCTTACTGAGGGTCTATGCAATGGAACAAGATTAATCTGTAAAAGTTTGAGCAAACATGTCATTCATGCTCAATAGCTGTGGGAGATTTTGCTAGAAAAGATGTCTTCATCCATAGAATTCCCTTACAACCTCCAACTGATGAACAATATCCTATTCCATATACAAGGACTCAGTTTCCAATTCGTTTGTGCTTTGCCATGACAATAAACAAAGCTCAAGGACAAACACTTGATTATGTTGGTATCTATTTGAAGGAACCAGTGTTTTCCCATGGGCAGCTCTATGTTCCATTATCGCGAGCAAGAACTGCTTCTCAAGTCAAAGTGCTCATTAAACCTCCATTTTTTGACAAGCCTAGAACAGATCAGACAAAAAATATTGTATTTAAAGCTGCCAAGTAAATATGTTGTTTTATGATTTAGTTTCAGATTTCATGAATGTTCCAGAATTTCTTCTCTTTTAACTTACAAACTGGTTATGTGTCTTTCTTATTAGTATAGATAACAATGGCAAGGAGATGTCTTTCAGTGCATGAAGTCCATGACAAGATGAGAAGGTGGACAGTGCTTGTGCAAGTTGTGAAGAAATCACACGTGTTAACCAGTAACGGATCCCCGCCTATCAGATTTCAGCATCTCGTCTTAACAGATTTTGAGGTGATATAAGCTGAAACTAATCTTAGCAATTTAACATTTCCTAAATCATCAACATGTCCAGATTATTAATTATTCTTTGTACAATTTAATTTCAGGCCAATTACTTTTTAATAGTGGTTTCTTTTATGTTTCTTGGGTAATATTGTTTCGTTGGAACTTAAAATAGCAACGCTTGTAAATTGGCTATAGTGAAGTTCTGATTTAACTTACATGATTCTACCCTATAATATTCCAAGGTTTATTATTAACCAATGATATATGCCTAATCAGTATAACTTTCTGCATGGGAGATCATATATAGTGATTTGAAAATGTTACAACTTGGATGCATTTGAGTGTCTCCTCAATGTGCATTCAATGACTAAACGAAGTACTGAGGACTTACGGAAATGATTTTATAGTAAAGAGGAAAACATAGCAACTGTAAGCAAGAGTAGTCCACCTGTTTCCAATTTTTTCTCTTCTAGACTTACGAATTACAAAGAACTTCTTGAAATTTTCAAGAAGGAATAGAATCTGAAAAAAAAAATCCATCTACTACTGTGACCAATAGCTGCTAAAGTATCTATACAGAAAGCGTTTTAGATTTTTGCTACTTCAATGCTTTCGAAGAGTCCACGTTTTCTACTGTTACATATCCCATGTATCTGAAATGCTTTTTTTGCCTTTAAGGAAAATTGAGGCAAAGGATAGCGGTCTTTTGATAACATTAATTGATAGCAGTCTCTTGTCTAATTCTTTTCTGGTTTTTCTACCATTTTTCTACATAAATGTCTCCGATTATTCTTAGTGATTTGCTTCTTGCAACTCAAATATTGCTGTTATATGTTTTCTTCCCCTCTCCCTCCTAAAAAAAAAAAAAAAAACTCTGCATACTTGTTGTTGTATGTATCTTACCTTGAGTGTTCTACTTCAGCTTTTTAGTTAATATTGCTCATCTTGGTTCTTTCTGTGAACAGGGGACTATGGTTTCAGCTGTCATTTATGGAAATGACATTTGTTATTTTGCTAATCTGCTGCAACCATTCAAGCGATACTATATCACTAGTGGGACTGTCAAAAAACAGGATGCAAAGTATAAAGTTAGTGACTATCACTTCTCATGGGTGATTCATAACAAGACATTAGTTGAAGAGTATGTCGAGCCAAATCCACCAATGCTACCATGAACTTTTGAATTCACCAAATTTGAAGACCTTTTTAGGTTCGCAGACACGGAGAATGTTCAAAGTAAGTTATATCTATGCTTTACTAATTGAAATATAAATTCATTTTCATATTTCTTTAATTATTGAAACACAGCTAACCTCTTCTCTTTTGGTTTGTACAAGGTTTACAAGCTGCTGTCATCACTGCATTTGCGACAAAGGAACAGAATAACGGCTCTACAACAAGAGACTTCATTGTTGTGAATGAAGAGTTAGTTATATGAACCTTACTTTTAATATTTCTATTCAATGCATAAAATTATTGCATTCATTTTTCCCATTTTTCCTCTTTTTTGTAAAGGAAAAAGCCAATGCTTCTTACTCTTTGGAATGAGTTCGAACAAAATCAGGGAACACAGCTTGCAAACAGCATTGGGAATGCCAACGTTATCATTGGCATGAAACTGAAAATCACAACTTTTAATTGTAAGTGAACTAATATACTTTTAACAGCTCATACTTCTATTCATCCAGTTAGAATAACTTAGCCAATCACTGGCTTTTAAATTGCTCTATTACTTAATGAAAACTATTGCTTTTATTATTAGACTTATCCCTGACAACCAAGCCTGGGAGTGGCCTTCTGATTAATCCTCCCACATCTGAAGCAAATGCACTCAAAGAATGGTACGTATGTTCTTTGATCATTTAAGTTAAACTTTTCTAGATCCTTTTGATAAATTATAGTCTGTTGCATTGATTTTTGGATAGGTATAATGCAAATAAAGAAGAAATTGCAGAGTTGATAAAACAAATGGCATACAAAGATTCATCTAAGCTGCTGCCACCTCCAAGTGCTAATGACATGATCAGTGTAGCCAATGCACTTAACGCAACTCAAAGATGTAATTTCCTTTTTCGTTTATAACCTGATTTATATCTTTTAGCCATCCAAAATAATGCAAGACTTAGGTGTTTTTCTTTCTGTTCACAAAAACATCTATTAGGTGAAAACAGCTTGGATAACAGGAAAAACCAGTTTGACCCCTGGGCAACAAAAATTCTGGTTTGAAGCATGTGAGAACTGCCAAAAGGCTATCAATGTTGACGTAGGATGGGTTATGAGATGCCCATCTTGCAAAGAAGAGAGCAAAGTTGTAGCAAGGTAATTACCAAATTAAGTTTCTTTCTCTTGTAATGAAAAATTAGAATATAATATTTTATTTCCAATGTGTAATAGGACCCGAATTGGGATTACTGTGGATGATGGTACGGGCTCCATAAACACTGTTATCTTTGGCCTTGATGCTGAAAAGCTTATCCCATTTACAGCTCTTCAATTCTGGGAAGCTCATAATGAGGTAAGCTAACAATCTTGGCAACAAAAATTTCTGCTACAAGTTTAACTCTTGCATGATAATATAACTACCAGCTTAATACATCTTGCTTAATGTTGTCGATTCTTTTTCCCTTCATAGATTTCTTCATTTTCCCCTTCAACTACCATGAACTTCATGTGCCTATATTTCTGCTGCCCATTATAGTTTTCTAATTTCTGCTGACTTGAAAGTTTCCTATATCATGTGGACTATATTTCTGGTGGAATTGCCAGTTTCATTTTTGTTTTCCATTTTTTGTTGTTTTTGTGTGATACTCAGCCATTGTTTTTCCTGCTAATTTGAACTTTCATGCTTGTAGCCTTTTCTATTAGTTACTGAGGCCACAAACTGTCAAATTCTTACTGTTGTATGAGGACAATTTATTAGAAATTTAGTTGTAAGAAACCCATAAAGCAAAAGGAGGGTGGTGGTATTCAGGAAAAAAAATGATAGCTGTCAATGGGTACATTTTTCTGGATAAGGTTCTGAGATTTGAGTCCAATTGAGCTATCCTGTAAATAGGATATCGAGTTACCTCTTCCACCCCTTCTTTGCCAGATTTGATTGGTTTTAGGTAAATAAGTAAATAGAAATTTTTGCACAATTGGAACTGTATATTTGATACTAATAAAGTTTGTGCACGATTGGACAATTAGAGCATTGGACATTCTTCGCATGACAGATCCAATCTCAATCGAATTGGAACTGCATGTCCAGAATGAGTCAAATAATTTAAACAACTCAGAATAGTCTGATGAGTAGGCACAAGTAATAACTACCGAATAATCTGATTTTTATGCTTCTTTTATTAGATATGAATACTGCTCTCACCATGTAAAAGTGTAATGATTGTAGGAAACAAAAGATTATTTGGCTTTGCCATCATTCACAGTAATTCCATAATGTCTTGGGTATAATATGTTTTGTTTCCTTCCATAACTTATGATTGGGATCCAATTCTTTTTACACAACATGAAGGTACTCAGAATTTGAATATCATTGCCCAAGTCAAAATCTACAATAAGAGCTTCTACTTCCAAACAAATAGCTAATATTTCAGGATACACTTGCTAATTATTTATACTTTAACAAAAAATTGTAGGAGCTTAACTTTTCTGCTGAACTAGCATCTGCAATCGGAAAACATTCGATTGTGTGTTTCATTCGCTACTATGAGGCAGATTATCAAGGCCAGAAGGAAGGCAAGTATAATATTGTCAAAGCATACACTACTGAGGAATCAGTTCACATTCCAATGGCAATCACGACTGCAGAAACGAATGAAAAATTTCCAGACCTTCATGCTACTGTCCTGCAGTCTACTAAGAAAAATGAATTTTTCAGTCCATCAACCAAAAAATTGCTTGACACCATCGCTGAATCTTCTGCTACTGCAAACAAAGTGCCGCCTCCAGTGACCACAGCAAAAAGAACCTCGGTTTTTGGAATTGTGCCTTCTGAAATTGGTTTGAATTTTGCAGAAGCTAATACATCTACCTTGCTGCCCACCAATGCACCTGGAAGTCCCTTGAAGAAGCAGCGTGATAATGAACTCTGAACTT